TAACCACAGAGTTCCCACATATTATACAAAAATGCATATAGATTTATTTTTTCAGTAAGTTGATCTAAACCTATTAAAATTAATTTACATCTAAACTCCTTCAATTAGGCTTCGTTCACATGCAATGTCTATTTTCTAAATTCTATTTTCTATTCGCGCTATCTTATGATCACGGTCTGTGCACTGAATATCCCGCCGCGTAATTACTGGCAGCGCGAGCCAGTTACTTATAGTAACTTATAGTAACTGGCTCACGCTGCCAGTAATTACGCCGCGGGACATTAAGGGCACAGAGCGTGATCATAAGACATACCGCGAATAGAAAATAGAATTTAGAAAATAGACATTGCATGTGAACGAAGCCTTAATGTACCCTAACTACAATACACATTATAATATATCAGCATGTGATCCGAAAATTACCCACCTAAGCATGTACATTATGTAATTGAGGAAATAAAATTTCCTTTTGTAATCACCTGAATTAAACTCTGATATCTCCAAAGGCAGTCTAGACAAACTGCAGAGAGTACTTATTGAGCCGAGATATTATCTCCTACAAGAGAGACTGGGGGTAATGACAGTGTAGTCTCTGTGATAACATCCACGGTTTTATGATTAAGCGATGATAATGGTCCCCTAAAGTTTGCCAAACTGTGACATCAGTAAAGGTGAATCTTTTACTTATACTTATTATCAAAGAACGGTTCAATGACTTGTTCTTCTCAAAGGGGAAAAATAGGTAGCAGACAAAATTAAATGAAGGTCATCGCCTTTTGTGTCATTAGTCTTTTTTTTTATTTCCTTTACAGATATGGTATAATTCATATCATAAAAAATATATGCTAAGTGCATTTTAAAAAATTCACACCAGTATTATTTTCTAATAACCCTCTAATTTCTGCATAATAAAAAAATTATCAATAGAATAGACAATAAATGAAACATTTTGTTTAATATGCATTATTCCAGTCAAAGAGTACTGGTGGAATTTAATTTAAAAACCACATAGCATGAATTCTTCCTACTCAAGCTCATTTCATGTTGACTGCCTGACCTTAAATTCCCCATACATTTCTTAAATTGTTCTTATTTTCCCCCCTGCTACTACTTTAGTGATTATAAAATGTCTGTGTGAAACTCAAATTAGGTCTACACGTACAGTGAATGAAAAAAAAAAACAAAAACAAAAACAAAACCACTGCAGTTACACAACTAAGTTTTAGCGTAATTGTTGTAAGCAAGCAATAAAATGACCACCTTTTTTCTTTTTTAACCATCAATTTCACCTCAGTTTATATCCCTCCAGCCACGTTGACTGGGAACAATTTCCTGTGAAATCTGATACTCTTTAGCTGAGCTAAGGCACGTACTGAGTCCATACTTACTTTTTTAATCGTTTTAACCTCTCCTCCTCCATTTCTATATGGCTTTTTATTTCTAGGGCTATATCTTTTTCTGTAAGGAGCACCTTTTGTAGGTCACTGAGGGAAGTAAAGACCTCAGATCCCGCAAAGTCTACTAGAGTTACAACGGCTAGAATTTGTAGAAAGTTCGCCGTGGGTAGCAGCTCCATCTTTCTCCGCTCTGAAAATGAACTGTGGATTTCAACAAGAGGCGCTGGGATTATAAAAAGACAATAAATTACAGTCACGAGGCGCTATATTGTATAATACGTCCTGTGGAGACAGTGAGAAGGGTGTGTCCCTACACCCACCCAGAGGCCAAATACGCAATGACCCACACCGGGCATTGTGCGCTGATTGCTTTGCCATTGACTAAGATCTAAACAAACATTTAAACACATCGGCTTCATGCTTTTAGACTTTTTAAAAATGAAATGTACGAACTTTAAGGGCTTTATACAGTTACTTAATATCTTAGGTAGAAACCTGTTTATACAAATCGATACTAAATGATGCTTTTGATCAAATACAACTACTTACCCTTCTAGAACCACAGTGAAACACGTCAACTGGCTGACCCAGTTTTTATTGAAACCTCAATTAGTCACATGACCCAGAATCACATGACAAACCAAAATGGTGGACTGTAGAGTTGCGTGGAAAAGTAGTTTTGCCTTCTTGGTTTGTTTTGTCGTCGGCTGTCATGGAGTTGCTCATTATTATATAGGAACAGGGATCGCTGATGTTACGGGACCCGCGGCAGAAGTTGATATGGTATAATTGGACATCTCGAGTAATGTTTTTGTCTCGAATGTTGCCTAACAACCGAGATAGTGGCCGACAAATGACGATGCTTTTTGGTCCCCGAAAAGCCACTTATGATAACACGAAAATGATAACACTTTTTTAATGAATTTTATATGTGGTTGGCTATTAGTTTATTGATAAGTAAATGGTGTCCTTTTGTAAAATGCATGAAGTCAAGCGAAAACGATATATGAATTATATCCAAGTGTAAGCTTATGGTTACAATTTGTCTTTGGATTTCAGATGTTTTAATTAAAAATAGTAAAAAGAAACCATAGATATTTTACATAACAATTTTATGGTTGATTTTAGATGGGCTATGCCAATCCTGCCCAGACAAGCCATGGAATCCATCTGCGCCAGTACAGCAGGGCATTTATTATTGCTGATGCTGCTAAGAAGTCTAGGGTAGTCTTCGTCAATGTTGATGCATGTATGATATCCGAAATTTTGAAAATACAGGTACAGTTTAAAATTAGATAGGAAATTTAAGGTTAACTCATTTTGCATTGAAATTGTTTCTAGTAGTTATTATGTGCATGTTTTTAATATAATAGATTTTCTTATATATGTAAAAAACTTTAATGTTACTCTTTCATTGACCCAAGTTATGTTTAAGAGTCAATTTGACTTCTATATTTAAATACTTCTTATATTTATGTTGGAATAGATACAATACAGTATTTCTGTTTGTTTCATTTGTAAGCATAACTTCATAATTTTCATATTTTGTGGATACAAGAAGATGTGAATAAAAAACAAAAAATATTTTAAAAAGTTGTTGAATTCCACATATTGTAGAATTTCATTAGATTAGACTTTGACTTGTTATGAATTACCCTATTCAGTTACATATTAACTTGGATGGCATCACATTGTTTGTATTTAGGTAGTTCAAAAGCTGCAGACATTATATCATGGTCTTTACAATGATTCTAATGTCTGCCTAAGTGGAATTCATACTCACTCTGGACCTGGTGGATTCCATCAATATGTGTTGTTTGACGTCACATCTCTTGGCTTTGTGAAGGAAAGTTTGGATTCTTTAGTGAATGGAATTGTGAAGGTAAGTCTTTTATTCTTTGGGAATGGCTCTTTCCAGGTATTAAAATTATAATCATGGAATCAAGAGGAAGATTCCAGTCTTCATGTTGACAAAGCACAATTATGCATATGGCTGCAATATACTGTCATAAACAAGTTGGACTGGTGCTGTCACCAGGATAAACCTTGCACCTACATATATATATCCAGCACTGTAGACTGCTACATGTACTTGTGCTCAACAAACTTTTTTTAGATTTAACATACATTAAATCAACAAAAACTATTCTTCTGGCTTTCATTTACATATAATCTAAATCCCCATTGCAAAGAAAATTGTTTCTTATCATTTGGTTCTGAAAGCTGTCATGGTTTCAGGGCAGGAAGAGGCATGTCAGTCAGTAAGAGTCCCCACATATTTGGAGTGATCTACATAGACCGATAGTGTCTTTGAAAAAGGGGGTCTTATTATTGGTGCACCTCACTAAAGTCAATCCACCAATATTATAAAATCGTATTTTCTGATAAGCATGCATTTTTGGCATTTTAATTTCACATGGTACACATGTCACAATGCTGTTAACCTTCTTCTCTTTTGAAGACTGTTGGTGTACAAAATTGGATATTCTAATTATAGAGCATCCAAAATGCCCACAACAACATGGTTGCAGGGAATATTTACATCAATACAGGAGAACTGTTGGATAGCAACATCAACCGCAGCCCTTCCGCATACCTGAATAACCCAGCAGAGGAAAAGGCCAGGTGAGAATTAATCATGACTTAGTAAAAAAATTCAGGTGTTATTCTTCATATTTTCTTACAAAATATGGATTTCCTTCCAGGAAATAGTACA